AGTTTGGGACATTTTCATCACCCCATAAGGAAACCTCTGGCCTGTTTGGTGAGTTCACCTCACACACCAAAGCTCCCCCCTGCTAGACCATGCCACCACATGTGTACTTTTTGTCTTTGTTGACTGTTCTAGACACTTCAGATAAAGTAAAGGCATGTGGTATTTTGTTACTGGCTCCTTTCACTTACTGTTTTCCAGACCCATTCATATTGTGAGGGCTTCATTTCTTTTTTTGTCAAATACTCTATTGTAAGCATTTATTACATTTTGCTTATTCATCTATTGACCAGTTTGTGTTATTTCTACTTTGTTGACGATAAATAATGCTTTTAAGTTTTAGTGTGGTGTCCTTATAAGTAAAAGAAGCTCACACATTGATTATCACTCTCGCCTCCAGAACTGTGGGAGATCAATTTTGGTTGTTCCAGCCTCCCAGTCTGTGATACTGCATTCTGGCAACCTCCCAAGCAGACCAAATACAGATATGTGCTCAGGACTAGAATTATTGAGTCATGAGCTTACCACTGTGAGGGATTACCCAGCTGTTCATAGTCAAGTCTTTGTGGAGAAATGTTTTCTCTTGTTTTCATAAACACACAGGAGGGGCACAGTGGTGGATGTATGTTAAACTTTCTAGGAAATAGACAGGAGAAGGCTGTGTCTGGCTCCTGCTCTCACCACCCCCACAGTACAATGAACTCCACTGAGACAGCCCTGGATAAGAGTCAGGCACTGCGTTCCTATGTGTCTTGCTGAAGAAAGATAATAAAAACTTGGCAAAGGGCACCCTAAGAAGCCCAAAAGGAATGTGCCCTCTTTGTGGACACTTGCTAGGAGCACAAGAGGAAGCTCCCAGATGCTTTGATCAACTCACTTTTCTAAGAAGTTCGCACAGAGGGGGAAGTCCAGGTCTGCTGAGGAGAGTTTGAAGACACGGCAAAAGCAGACAAAGCTCTTTGTGAGAGAAGTGAGAACTCTTTTACTCATAAATAGACCAAGGGCTCCCATGTACCCAAGAGGCCTCCTTCTACCTTTTTCCTTGCTTTAAGCCAAGTACTGTCCTCCCCAAATCACTGAACACTGGTCTGGCCATTGGCGATGTGGCAAAGGAGCTGTAGCAGATGCAGGCTAAGTCTGCTTGGACCACCTTATACGGTGTTATGGAAAGGAGCCTTATGGAAAGGAGGCTTCTGTTGCCTCCAGAGCTAATGGAAGGCCTGACACAGCCCCAAATCAGGTGGAAAAAAGCAAGGGAAAGACAAAGAGGATAAATAGGCCGTTCTACTGTTGTTTTTCTCATCTGTAAAGCCTATCACCCTCCTATAGATGAAAATCAAAATATAAAGCAGTATAAGATTTTTTAAAACTGTACAGTCTTTTTTTTTTGGGGTATACACTACTGATTGACTTTTGATAGCCTTCTTCAGTGTATTTTCAGGGTCACTATCTGGCCTTTTACAGGATGGGTGGTGTTAACTGGCTTCGAAGTTTAAACCACGTTCTTGGTGCATAACACAAATTAGTTCTATGTGGGGATGGCAGTTTTTCATTTTCAGTGTCTCTGATGCAGTATATATGAAATAATTGTTAACTGAGTACCACTTTGTAATTGCAAAAAAAAAAATGTTGCAGCTCTTTTGATAGTCTGAATGCTTGCAGTGTATATATATAAAATTTAAATAGACAAACTGGTTCCTAAGTGGTAATATTCCACATTCCCACCAATATCTAGGAGGCTTCCAATTTTCTATACCTTTGCTCCAACCTGTCATTGTGTTTTGACTACTATTTAACTTACAGGGTGTGAAATGGCATCTCACTGGCTGTGTACTTTTTTTTTTTTTTTAAGATTTATTTATTTTCACATACAGAACTGGGCCAGACATGCAGGGGCGGTGAGAGGCTTCACCAGCTAGAGAGAGGGGAGCAGAACAGGCAGATCGTCAAAGTACACTGCTGAGGGGAGCAGCAGGCGGTCAGGAGTGGTCTGCCACGCCATGTGGTCACCTCCGGGGCAGGTGGGGATCGAACTCATGCGGAAGTGGCTTCAGCTTCTCAGTGCTGTGCTTTAACCTGCTGCGCCACCAGGGAGGGCCAGCTGTGTACTTTTTTTTAAAGCAAACTAATTTTTTTAGTTTTAAATTTACAGTAGAGCAGAAGGTACAAAGAATTTCCTTATACTTCTTGCTCCCTGCCTCTCCCCCATGCTCTCCTACCAACATGCTGAGTGAAGGCACACATTTGTTACTTGTGATGAAGCTACACTGACACATTAGCTGCCCACAGTATAAGTACATTGACTTATTCTTGATGTTGAGTTTTATCAATGTATTGTGACATGAATTCACACTGTAGTGTGTGTTTCATTGTGCTCTGCTTATTCATCCTGCTCCCTCCCCCATTATGGTTTTCATTTTCATTATCCTGGTCACTAATCTTTTCATGTACTTCTGGGTCACTTAAATAACTTGTCTGATTCCCTTCAGAATTCACTGCATAAACTATGTCTCTGTTTAACTGAGTCATGTCTTCTCTATGCAACAAATGAGTAGGAAGACAGAAGTGCTCTATGAAGTATTTATTTTTACCATATCATGCTGGCAGTCAGTCCTTAGAGAAATTAAATGAGTTAGGGTAAGTAGTAACCTGCAGAGAATTTAAGGAGTAACCTGATTGTCCATTACGGATTTAAAGACAGAAAACCAGCAAGGAAGCTTTAAGTAAATACAAGACTCTACAAATATGCTTTAACAGTTTAATAGCTAGTCATTTACAAACATTTCAATACAACAAAGCAAGATCAGGCACTAAAATACATTCCCTTTTAAAATAGTTTTCATTTACCAAGGAAGACACCATTCTGTGACAGAGGAAAATATATTCATGATCAGCAGGCAATAACCTTAGTCAACAGAAATTTGTGAGTCTGGAAAAGGTACTGTTTGATTACAGAAGTTGGGGCACAGAAGTATGATAAGATGCCAGTATAGTTCTGGGATGAGGTAAATACAAATTAAATGATCTCGAAAAGACACACACACAGGTTTCCTCAATAGATTTAGCTTAAGGAAATTGTTAATGACGAGAGGCTAGATTTCTAAGGAAATTTGGGCACAACTATTTGCTCCTTAAGGCACTGGAGGGGCCAGTGTTCAGAACTATGCTGGCATACAAATCATGGATGGAAAAGTAGCCCATTTGGCAAGGCATCTCCTAGGACAAAATGGTTCCTCAAATAGGCTCCCAGGGCTGTGGAACACCTCACTGGAAGGAAAAACTAACAAGGGTTTGGTGAGAAAGAAAGATGAAGAGATGGAAAGGATGAAGAGATGGGTTGATAGTACTGAATTAATAGTCACCTGTACAAAAGATTAGTATACAGATCACAGAGATTTAAGGTGTTTTCTACTTTGCAAGAGAAAAAAGAAAAGCGTAAGCTGCAGCACAAAGGATTTGGTTTCATTATGAGTCCATTTCAATGCACAAAATCAGCCCTGAGACTCAGTGATAAAGACTGGAACAGGAGCCAAGTGATGGTGTGTGGCCTCCAAAGCCACAGCTTGGCCCTGGCTGGCTGGCTGAAGGTGAGGGAAGGCTGGAGACGGCACCTTTGGTTTCCGCCAAGTTCTCGTGCTATTTTCTGTATGCAATACTGTCTGTTGTGTAATTCAAAGGCAATGGTGCATACCTACTGTGGGCCTGACTCCCTCTGGGGTTGTCAATTACTGAGTCTTCCTTTAAAGGAATGTCGCAGAGGTTCACATCCAGCTTGCACATGTGAGAGCATTCACAGGCTTCACAATGTCACAGAAATACAGGGAGATTCTTGAACAGCTTAGACAATTTTTATAAAATGAATTGATCCCCATGTTGAAGAAATAACATTGAAAATTTAATTTCCTCATCAGAGTGAAGAAACATAACATACATGCTTATAACTGTACTAATTTCATTCTCCCACTGGTAGGCTAGGTAAAAAAGTATAGTAATTATTGTGGGATTTGTTTAAAATTCTAGAAAAATTGATATTTTACTCAACTTAAGCGAACCCGAGGTCACTTAGCATAGATGATTTCTGCATTTCTCAAAAGTATACTTTTAGTATAGAAAGGAACTCAAACATACTGGTTCCTGGGAATAGATAATTTATTAAAATGAATAGTATGAGATTTTAACACTTAATTTTTCCTCTACTTGCAAGGATAGCTTGAGTTGAAAACTTATTTTGCATTACTAAATTCATTTCTAAATATTTGATTCAATGCTGTTAGCTTTATTATTTACATTTATATTTATATTGGGATTAAATGGTGAGTTATTGTGTCGAGAGTTTAGTTTACTTTTATCAATGTGATGGGGAAGGGACCAACCCTTGGAACTAAATGCATGGATCATTCAGCTGGTATACATACACATGGAAAAGCTAAAGCTCCAATGACTAGTTACCTGGGTTTGGTGCAAAAGACTAGAATTAGGTATATATGTTTTACATTGTATGTAAGTATGTCTTGTCAGTAAGCTTACCTAACATTCATTTAACAATGAAAGCTTTTCTGGATTCAAAGCTTTCTCATAGTTGGAATATCTCATTTTTCCCCTCAGTGGATCATTGGTACAGCACCCTAAATTTAAGAATAACATTTACCAGTAGAATAATATTTCAGGAACTATAAAATGATGGAGGAAGGAAACTAAAAAATCCTTTGTGGTAGCATGAAGATCTGGGGGCTGAAGTGGGTATTTGCTTTGGACAACCATTTGGAAGTATTGTCACAACTGTTTTGAAGAAATTATAAATGTCTATAAAATATGAGACTGTCTAACAGGAACAATATTGACATTTTTTTGAGAGACAGAAAAAAAAAAAACAAAACCTCACACTGTATGTTCTAAGGCTCAGAAATTAAATAAATTTGCACTAAAATATTTATTCAATTGATCAATTGATGCTAACTTACAGAAATAAATAAGATTAGCTTTTCTTTAATACAGGTTAGGGATATTACACTTTTTTTTTTTTTTACAAAATTGAAGCTTATCAAATTGTTATCTCTAAAACTTGAGCTCAGAAAGAAATACTAGAAAACAAAGAAATACTCAGATATGGTTCACCATTAAATTATAACCGTGGGCCTTCTAAATCTCAATGTGACATAAGATTTAGTCAAAGAACACAGGATTTGGAGTCAGAGGACATGGGCTCCCATTTTTCACTGACTACATGTCACAGATATGTTCCCCAAAATTTCTGGACCTCAGTTCTCTACTTTTAAAATAGGAATGGTATTAGTTATATCAACTCCACAGGATTGCTGGGCTAATTACACATGTAAATGCAGAGGAAAGCTCTTTCTAATACAAAGAGCTACAAAAATAATAGTTCTGTTTAACTTCATATAAAACAATCAATGCATACCACTCTTCAACTGAAGAATAAGCACCAAAAATGTGTGTGTGTTTGCTTCAGTTGTATTATGTCACCCTATAAACCTAGAATAAGAAAATGCACCTTGACTAAGCACCAAAGTCTCTCAGACAAATGTGATCCAGGGGACATTTCTTCATAGTTTTCTGGGTAGCTAAATAGGAGCTAGTTAGTCCTGAGGGTCATTTAATCTCTGAAGGCTCAAAAAACCAAAACCACAAAACTTCAAACAAGAACATTTATATTACTTCAAATAACTAGGATATAACAAGCTACTCTTTATCTAGTGATTTCAAAGTCCATTAAGTTCTTCACAGAAGAAGAAAATACTCAGTTATTATCACTTATTATATGCTTATGTGAATATGACATTCTCTGGTTCTAAAGATCAAATGTTAGTCTTTGAGGGAAGTATTACAGGAATAAAATAACAAACTATCATAAATATTGATAGTAGTGGTTAAAAGTATAGTTACACAAGAACAAGAAAGGAAAATAATCTAAGACATCCACATAATAATGCTAAAAAATCCCCCAAAACTCTGCCATATGTCCACGTTACAAGGATAAGAAATGAAAAAACAAACAAACAAAAACAATATTTACAGATATATCAATCTGAAAACAGAAAAATTAAAAGTAGAGAAAAGCAGTTTAGATAACTTTTTTAGTTTAGATAATTTTAAGGTAAATATATACTTATAAATGGTAGAGTTAATTGCTAAACCTGACACTTTTTAACATGTAACAGAAACATGAAAAGTGTTCAATGTTTCAATTTTTAGTAGCAGGGTAGAAAGGAAATAGTTGCCTAGTGCTAAATTATTGTTAAGAATTTTAATTACTTTAAAGTTACTATGCATGGGGTTATAGCCTAAATCTACTGAAATAATTAGGAGTTAATGTAATTTATATCTACTTATAATGTTACTGACAAGATACAGGTGAACCATGTGCTAAAGATATCCAAAACTAAGATCTATTGGGCTGAATATACAGGTGATATAAAACTAAATGAGTTTATTGTTTCTCTTATTCCAATTTAAGAGTGATCTTATTAAAAAATCTCTCTTAATTTCCTCATCTCATTATATATAGATTTTCTTTAGAACAAAAAATAAATATTTTATTAGGAATGTAAAATTAAAAGCCTTTATAGATCTGCAAATAACATACTGACAAGGATTCAGTAACTATCAGGATACTATACAACAACAACAAAAAAATTCACTAGATTAAGAACAGAGTTTAATGACATCTACTGGATTTTTAAACTAATAACTTTGCTTTACAAACAATTAAAATTTTTAAATACATTAAAGTCCGTGGACTGAATCCGTGTACTTCATTCAAGGTCTTCAGTTTCTTTGGTGAACAGGTCTGCCAGATCAGCCACGGTCAAGACAGAGGCCTCTGGGTGCTTCCCTGATGAGTTTGTGTGACTGCAGGATTTTCCAAGTGAGCAGAGTCAGAAAGAAACCCCAAAAAATACATTAATATATCTGTGTCAAATATTCGGTTAGTCTTGTAAGATATAATAAAATATAGGAACCTGAGATCTTATAATAATACTTTAACCTTTTATATATTTTAAATATTTAAATATGCAACATATTTTAAATATTTAAAAAATAACATATATTTAAACATATAACATATTTAAATATTTAAATGTATTTAAATATATAATATTTAAATATATAACATATTTTAAATATGTTATATATTTAACATATACCACAAAATATGCTATACTAGTACAATGACTTGGCAACATATGTGTTCTTAAGCTTTGTAACTAAGTTATAAGAAATTCCCAGAAGCAGGACATGGGATTATTATTACAGCTCATTAAAATCAGTGATGTCATCTAGATGACGACTATTCAGATTTTTCATAAAATGTTTTTTCTCGGTACAATCACTACAACAAAGACACAATGTTTTAGCCAACTGCCACTAGGATCTCTCACCTTACAACTTACACTCATGCCTGAAGCTAATTTAAGAGAAATTCAAAAGCTCTTCTAATTGCTTAAATACAATTACTAAATTCTGTTACATATGAAACAACATCACTAACAATATGTCTTCATATCTGTGGCAAAAGCTCTGATGGTAGGTAGCCTCTTTCCTTCCCATAAACTTGAAGGAAACTGCCATGTTAGGCCACTTTGTCACTATGCGAGCAGCTCCACAGAAAGAACCTCTGCCAAAGTCATAACCTCTCCTGTGTGTGTCTTCCAATCACACCTGTCTCACAAGGACGAAAGTAAGGCAGTGGCTTAGGTTTTCAAATTGACTATAAAGAAAATATATGAGAGAAATATTAGGAGGCTTCATGATTCCAAAGCTAAGTTTTAAAATTAAAGGTGTTTTGATATGCTGCATACCTGAACCTGCCTTGTAATGTTACAAACCAGTGTAAATTTTATTTTAAAAAATAAAAAAAAACTTTTAAAGTAAAACAAAACTTTTCTGGTCTATCTACTCATGTCCTCTCTTTGCAGTTGACACCACAGTGAACCCACTTTCCAGTCCAGACCTTGCCAGCAGCCTGTGGTGCACACAGGAGCAGCCTGTCTCCTTTACACGTGTCAGACTAAGTTTTCAGTCAGGTATGACAGATACTTAAAAATGCATCCAGCATGTCAAAGAAAGTAAGACAGCTTAAATATTTTTTGTATATTATAATCCCTATTAATAAATTAAGTCAAATATAGAATTTCTAGAGTGTTGGAAACACAGAATAGGTAATATACCATACCTTGATTTATGCAATATTTGCACTTTTGGTTGACTAAGTGGTCACATAAATAAAGAAACACATTCACAATCTTATGGAAACAGAAAAGTTTCCCCCACTGATCTGTAGCCAGCTGTTACCAACCTCCTCTCAGCAGTTTTCAGCATTGCTTGCATTCTTTCTTCTATTGTGGCTTTGATTAAGAATCTGTGTACAATAGTAGGTCTAGAAGGCACAAAACAATCATAAGTTAAGAAATCTTGAAACAAATGAGAACAAACAGACTTCACATGTATTATGTTGTTTTATCAGGCCGCTGGAATTGAAGGTGCAGAAACAATTAAGAGGTTGGGGGTGGGATGAGCAGTGACTAAAACTGTTAGCTTCAGTGAGCAAACACTCTGATAAGGGAAGACACACAACAAATATATCAACAAGTAAGAGTTTCCCATGCAGATGATGCCATGAGGAGGCTTTTATGAGTTCAAACATGACTGACAGGTACAAGGCCCCTAAGAAAGGGAAGTGGGAAGAGCCAACTGGAGAAACTGTAAAAAAATACAAAGACTAGGGAGAACATGCTTGAAACAGGCTTAATCATCCTAGTGGCAGACAGAGGCTAGCTCGGCAGAAGCATACTGCCAAGGAGCAGCAAAAATGAGACTGGACAGGAGAGCAGGGACATGTAAGGAACTGGGAGTATATTGTGGTTACAATGAGAAGCCATTGGTAGGTTTTTGCATAATTTGATTTGTACTTGATTATGTTTCAGGAATTTCTTTGGGCTGTCATGTGGAAGTGGACTATTAGCCAGCAAAGGTAGAAGCCCAGAAGCCAGTTAAGAAGTTCAGTAAGAGTCCAGGTAAGGTGGTGGAGAGTACTCTGGCTGCACCAGAAGAGGCAGTAAACACCCAGAAGATTTGGTGGATCTTTTGGAGACAGCTCACAAAACTTCAATGATCATTTGGATGTGGGCTATGAAAAGACAAACATGGAAGAGCCCTAGATTTCTGGTTCCTCAGAAACCATAGATGATGGAGGGCTGGGAGGAGGTGGAGGTACAGTAGGAATACAGTTGTTTTGCTGAGGCCAAACTGGAGGTACCTATTAGAGAGGCACCCAAAGGAAAGGTGTGAAGCCCCCGAATGAGACAAGAAGGAAATGCTTAACAATAAAAGACAAAACCAAAAATCCCAGTCATATAGGATATAACTTCATTTTAAATGAAACTGATAGCCCTTTAGAATTTGCATTTATTATAATTATGTGACTTTACCATTGTTTAAGAAGGGTTTGTTTGATAAACATGTCTCTTAATTAGAAGTCTTGACGTTCTCTGGAGAGCAGGCTATAATTCTGAGTATGGGGTAAACGATCTCACCTGCTGCCACTCCTCTCTCATACCTTACACTCCAGCAGTTCCAAAATGCTTACAGTGCCCAGACATAGGCTGTTTATCTCCTGTTTTTCTGCATGTAGAGCACTCGTTTGTAGCCCAACTTTGCAATCATTATTCCTTCAAGACTCAACTTGATGAAGCTCTTCCTGATATTCCCAGGGACAGCTGGTCATTCCCTTCTGATTTGACCACATGACTTCTATGATATTTTTGCACTCTCTATCGCAATACTTCAAACCAAATCTGTTTCCTATACTACCAAGTAACTTCCTTGGGGGAATAGATTCTATCTTATTCAATTTGAATTTTCAGACTAGCAAAATGTCTGGCATACAGTAGTTGCTCAACCAACTTTTTTTAAAAGTGAGTCTTCATATGGGTGTGATTTTTCTTTCTTTCTTTCTTTTTTTTTTTTTAAAGGAAACAGAGAAGATACCTAATATCCAGGCCTTATAAAAGATAACTGTTCAAGTTGATATTTGAATGAAAGTAGGACATATTAAATAATATTCACTACTAGGTTTACTTTGGGCCTTAAACTAAATATAACTATCTCATACAGTGAAACTAGGATGCTGTTTTTCCTTAATGGAAGAATTTTAAAAGGTGATATTTGTTTTTAGTCATGGCTTATTTTAAACATAGTCTGCTTTAGACCATCACAAATAAATCCTCTAGGTCACTATGTTGCCTTCAAATTTGGAGTTATCTTAAACAATCTATGGAATTAGGCTGATCAAGTATTCAGGACAATTTTTGAGGGAAAGACAAAAACTGGGAGAATTTAGGGTTTGCTGCTTGGAAGAGGGAGAGTTGGAAATCTCAAAATGTCTTTTATAATGCTTTAACATTTAATACAAAAAGAATAATTGAAAATGAATAGGCCATGATAAAGCTATTATAAACATATTGATGCTGATTTCTATTTTGAAAACTTGCGCAAACATGTCTAGTGTGAATTTGAGCCCTTACTTCGTCTGCCCGATTCGGTGCACCCTCCCGATGGCCTGGAGCTCATGGGCGGGGTTCAGTATGGGCTCCACCAGAAGAACATGAGTAGCTTCGATGATTGTTAATCCATTAGAGCCAGTGTGCAGGGGCAGCAGCAAAATATTTATCTGAGGATCGTGTTTAAATGCAGAGAGGTTTTCCTAAAAAGAAAGGCACATTTGAATTTTAACTGGATTAGTTAGAAATAGAAGTAGTGTATTATAGTGCACATTAAAGATGCCTAGTGGGTCCAGGTCATTGTGAAATGCAGTAACTAGGAAAATGAAATGTAAAAATACCAGTTGTAGAAAATGTAAACTTACTGATTTATGAAGAAAGTGTCACATAAGCTCACCTGTTGTGTTGTGGAATCACAACATGGTATGTGTGTGTGTGTGTGTACGCCACATGCAAATTAAAACTGTGCTTAGTGGAAAGTGTTAAATGTATTAGAGTGACTATGAGAGAAGATACATGAATGTGCTAAATTGTCATTGGTCTCTGCTATGTGCTTGTGTCAACACTTGTCATTGTGCTGAGTGTGATGTGAGGATGATTTGACAACAAGCAGTTTTGCCTGGCACAGGGTATCTATAGCTGCATGAAGCCCCCTCCATCATCACAGGTCACCTTTTCTTATACTTAACAAAGAATCACAGTCATAAAATATTTAAAATAAAAAAATATATCACCATAAGTGTAAGTGATAGACAAAGTAACTACATTTTCTCCACTTTGGTTCTGAATCTTAATTTTATAATCAATCAAGAACTCATACCCAGTTAATATGATACAAGACAACATACAAGTAGCCAGTTTACAGCAGTTTCAATATGCAATTGACTCCACTTTAAAAAATACACGTGAAATCATCTTGACATACCTGAAATGTTTTAACACGACTGATTTGTGCAAATTCCATGTTGTTATCAGTGAGAGCTTTTGAAATAATGTCTAACACATCTTGCCACTAGAACACATAAAGCAAAAAGAAAACAAGGACTTATAACATAGCTTTCACGTAGAGATTGTGAAAGCCTAAATCAAAATAAGTTTTGTTCCTCAGAGTTAATATAAAACCAAACCTTCAAAGGCAGCGCTATCAGTTATTTAGTTCTAATTTTAAAGTTTTTTTTTTTTCTAACATCAAATTCTGGTTAAAGATAGGATAATGGAATTAAGATAAATGGTACAGAAAATTAATCATGGGGGCACTGTAGTGGCTATTTATCTTTCAAAAATGGTAACTAGAATTTTTACTTAATACTTTATTCAGCAGATTTTCTTTCTCTTAAACCAATTTCATTTGTGAAACAAGACTTTGAAGGTTTCAGATTCCAATTTTTTTTTTTTTTTTAAAGATTTATTTATTTATTTGTGCATACAGAACTGGGGTACAGGCCAGAGGCTCAGGGGGCGGTGAGAGGCTTCACCAGAGACAGAGTGGGGAGCAGAACAGGCAGATCAACGAAGCACACCGCTGAGGGAAGCAGCGGGCGGGTCAGGAGAGGTCTGGCTCGCCATGTGGTCTCCTCCGGGGCAGGCGGCAGGCGGGAATCGAACTCATGCGGAAGTGGCTTCAGACTCCCAGTGCTGTGCTTCAACCCGCTGCGCCACCAGGGAGGGCCCAGATTCCAATTTTTAAAATAGTTAATATAAGGAATTCCCTAAATAAAATATAGTAGCATGCCTGTAGCTGTAGGAATTGCCTGTGAAACATCATGAGACTTTTCTAATGATAATTATTAGAATTATTAAAATAGAATTATTCTAATAATTCTAATTATTATAATTATTAAAATAGAATTATTCTAATAATTCTATTCATGGACATGAAAAACAAATCTAGCATGAACAACCTAGTAGTCATTTTACACAGCAATTGCATTATGGTGAACATTAAAAGTTAGTTCTCAGATATACACTGATTAGAGACAAAACATCAATCTTAGCTAATACTGAGAATGAAAATGTGGATTATACCGTTGAGAAAACAAGTGCTTTGGCCCCTGGATCTTTACGTTGGATTCGCATCAGAGTTCTGACCACAGCTTCCACTTTTGTAGAATGGCTGCCCTTTGAAAACAAAGAAGATGACACATCATCGTCAAATAAAATCTAGTTAACAGTGGAAAGGAAAACAGGTACATAACATACCAAAATTATATATGAATCAAGACAAATTCTCAGGTGCTTATGTGCTTACCTTTTCTTTTAACAATAAATATTTTATGGGTGGGTATAAATTTTATTTTTTTAAATTATTCATTCTTGTAATGAATGATTCTTTTAAGGTGGCTGTTCCCCCCACGCTCCCCAGAGGCCACCACCATAGTCCACTGTGCTTCCCTCCCTCCTTGTTCTCACTCTGTCCCCAAAGTCTCTCCTCTAGATGATGTTTCTTATTTTGTATTTGCTGGACATTTTCTTTATTCTCAAACTGTAGAAGCCATAGAATTTATACCTAAATAAATAAATAAATAAATGAGCACAGAAGAAAGCCATACAGTGATATATATGCCTGTGAAGGTAGGATTTTCTGGTTAAGTGGTTTGGTTTTGTAGTAACAAATTTTCTTACTTTAGATAATCAGAATTTATGTTCAAAAACACCTTTTGACCTAAGGAAAAGGAAATGTTAAGACTATAGTGCATCAAGACTCCATGTAAACAACACCAGGTATAAGCATCTCTCACATGGTATTGGAGTAACAGAGGTCTGTCTGATGGCCCCTTGGATGGAGGAAGGTGATACAAAGCTAGATAAATGTAGAGTGCTTTTTTACATTTTCTGTAAGCATTTTTATCACAAGAGGATGAAAAAGATAAAAAAAGAAAATGAGGAAATACAGCAAGTTTTCTATTGTCATTGAGAAAAGTTTTCTCCTGGAATGCTCTGGGGTGGTATAACAGATTACAGGTCCAGAGTTTACAAGGCTTCATTCAATTGCCAATTTTGCTTGTCACTTGTTACAGACTCTAACTTTTCAAAGTCCTTCCCCTTGTTTGTTAAAGAGATATCTGTATCTCTAAAGAAAACACATACAGAGTTCACAGTTTACTTGACAGGTAATAGAATCACAGTAGCATTATCTAAGGCAGTAAATATGAGTGCTACAGTGACACAGGCTATCCCCCATCATGGTAGATCTTTTGCTCTTTTGCTCAAATGCACCTCCACACCTAACACATTGCCCACCACTTTTATACGTAGTTACACAAAGAGTAAAAACAAATCAAGACAGAGAAATATACTAGTTTTAAGTTAGCAAACCAGAATGATGGGTAAAGTTTTAAAATGATCATAAAATCCTGAGTCTATCTTTGTTTCTTTGAATATATTGATTACATCATAATCAAGAACTTAAAAATACAGTCTAAAAATTACCTTAAATAAGAGCAAAAATACCTCAAACAAATAAGAAAACAGTAAACTGGTATGAAGGGGTCAGTAAGGAATTCACACAGAAACATCGATGTTCCTAAAAAGGTCTCATTTTCAAGTGAAATGCCAGGATAACTACGAACCACTCCCTTTACTAAGTAGCTTCTTACTAAAAGTTCAAAAGAAAATATGACAAGCCCTCCCTGGTGCTGCAATGGGTTAGTACACAGTTCTGCAAGCTGCCGCAGCCGCTTCAGTGCAAGTTCAATCCCTGGCCCCGGAGGTGATCCACATGGTGCGGCAGACCTCTCCCGACCCGCCCACTGCTCCCCTCAGTAGTGTACCTCGTTGATCTGCCTGTTCTGCTCCCCGCTCTATCTCTGGTGAATCCTCCCACCACACCTGCACCTGTGGCCTGTACTCCAGTTCTGTATGTATAAATAAATAAATATTAAAAAAAAATACTATAGTTTTTATACGCAACACTCCAAACTAGAACAAATTTTGTTAAGGTAAAGACCAGAGCATTCCCTTCTATCAAAATATGGCCAGTTCAGTGTTAGCTCCTGTCCAAATGCCAGAATTTGGAACCATTTGGTCGCAGTCCAGTTTTCACTATGAAAGAATATCTAGAAATGCCACGCTCTGTTGACTGAAGCCACATGGGGGACTGAAATGATTTTAATAATCTTTTATTCTAGATGGACAGCAAGTGGCTATGGAGAGTGAGAACAGTGGAGTAAGAAGCAGCTCATGTGTATCTGTAGCTCCTGGGTTGAGTGCGCCGTCCTGCTGGCACGATTTCTGAAAACAATGCCAATAAATGCTTACTCCATAAGACAGACCAATGTGTGACAGCAGCGTCTCTTAAGACAGAGGAGTTCATGCTTTAAACTATTTGAAGAATTTAAATGATCAAAAATTAAAATTCCAAGTTACAAGATACTGTGTTGAAAATTCATAATCTGTCAAAAAACTGCTATAGACAAATGATTGGTTACTGGCTAAAAAGGTAACACAAAAAGGAGTAGGACTGAACAGAAATTACATTACATAAGGGGTTAAAGTTCTGTCCTATTACTAAATCTATTACAATTCTGACAGTTTTAAAAAAATTACCAAAATATCGGGCCCTCCTTGGTGGTGCAGCGGGTTAAAGCACAGCTCTGAGAATCTAAAGCCGCTTCAGCATGAGTTCAATTCCTGCCTGCCCCAGAGCTGGCACATGGTGTGGCAGAACTCTGCTGGCCTGCCCGCTGCTCCCCTCAGCAGTGTACTTCGTCGATCTGCCTGTTCTGTTCCCCACTCTGTCTCTGGTGAAGCCTCTCACTGCTCCTGAGCCTCTGGCCTGTTCCCCAGTTCTGAATGCACAAATAAATAAATTAAAAAAAAAATTACCAAAATATCCCCAATACACGTTCATTGAACAACTAAGCTGACAGAAGAATACAGGATTAAATAATTAACAATTTTTATGCCCTATCCTGTTAAAACCACTAAAAATTTGGCATTCATCCTGTAAGACCATCTTGTGCATTTTAGAAGTTGGTAAGAAAAAGCACACACACCCACAAAATTTTTTTAAGATTTATTTTTATTTACTTATGTATATAATAACAGGGGTCTAGGCCAGAGATGTGTGTGTGGAGAGGGGGGTGAGGGGATTCATCAGTGGCAGAGTGGGGAGCAAAACAGGTGGATCTATTGAAATAGACTGAGGGGAGCAGCAGGAGAGACAGGAGAGGTCTGCTGCGTCATGTGGGTCAGCTCCTTGGCTGGGGACTGAATTCATGCTGTAGTAGCTGGTAAAAGCTTGAGAGCCCTGTGACTTAAACTGTGAGCCACGAGGGAGGCCACTCACACATAATTTTAAACAAGTTTTATACTGTATGCTTAACATTGTTATCTCGGCAGTCTTTTCACATGTGACCTATATATTGATATTCACTTCATGGCTGCTCAGTAATGGCTAAGCAATAATATCAAGTATTTGCTTGTTAATAAACATTTAGACTGATTTCATTTATTTTTTGCTATTATAAACAGTATTTCAGTGACTGTACTTTCATTTATATTTAGGTACAGGTACAAATATTTTTATTGGACAGGCACATGAAAATTTAATTGTCAAAGGTTAAAGGAATTTTAGATATTTGAATTTTGTTAGATTCCCTATCAAACTGCCCTCTAAAAATGCTACAACATTTGCCTGTTAACATTTAGACATGGCTACTTCTTTGCACACAATTTCATGAGAGTGGATACCAAATTCATGACTAAAAAAACTGTGAGATAATTTTTTGTTATATAAAAAATGATTGAATCTTAAGGCAACTCGTTATTTAATATTAATTATTATTGATGACAATAATTAAAACACCTTCTTAGTATCTATGTTGTAATAACTTTGTGTTGGTTGCAGGATTACTTTACGTTAAATATTATGGTACAATCTGAAAACACTTATCTTCCTCCCAGGCAGTGCTCTGAAAATAGTTGTTGGTATATAGTGTCATTCACAGAAGAGTCTGGTTATTTCTGAAGAGCTGTAGAGATCATGAAATGATCATGCTCTTTAAAGGAATGTGAAATCTTTTCCAGGACATAGTCCTTAGTAAACTGTATATACTCCAGCTTATTTAATGAAAAAAATTAATATTTACATTTAGGTTTCTTGATCTAAACTGCTGTGTAAAACAAATTAATAAACAACATAAAAATAAAAGGAAATAGATACCAATTTAAAAGTTTTGATGTATTTTTGTCATTCACTCAGAATGATCAACAGGCAAATCAAATCTTGAATTTCTAGCTTTCTCTCTGACAGCCAGATATTCAACAAGTATTAACCACAGACACAGGGAAAGATGGCTCTGTTGGGTACTGTGCGAAATTCTGGGAACCCATCTTAGAAGAAGGCAGCAATTTAGGGTACTGCAATCTCCTTAGGATGCTGAGCATTTATGTCTTCTTTTATCCATCAGTAGATAGATAACAGGAGAAGTTAATAAAGTCAATAAACTCTGTGCTTTATTTCTAGTTAATAAAGCTTTACTCTTTAGAAAAAACAGATTCCTAACACATTAGGCTCTTATTCATACTTTTTTCTCTCTTTTCGACTTGTGCTTTTGTACTTCCAAATGAAAAGCAAGAGATCTAAAAAAATACTGAAAAGATCATGGTTGGTCTAAAAACGGAGCCCGTGAAAGTGAACAAAGACATAGGATAGACTTCTTCTGCATTTCACTCAAGTCCCTTTAACATTTCAAGTAAGTTCATGTTAGGTTATTCAAATCATTCACTTATTCATTCAAGTAAGTTAACCAAAGTTAACAAGAACTACATCAGGCAGTTCATCTAAGTTAACAAGACCTGTATCAGGCAGTGGATATACAAAGATGAAAAATAACATTCTCTTATTCCCAAATACATACATGTCACTGCAAGCTGCAAAATAAAAAACAAAAATGGGATGATTTAAAGAGCCAGTATGGACTAGAAGCCAATTTAAGTGAATGTTTATTGTATCATTAATGAGGACTGTACACATCTATGATCTTTTGACTATTTCTATGCCAAATACATATAAACAAACTTGGACTCAGTTCTACTAGCTTCTGAAGACTAGTTAATGTGGTCACTATTACAGAAAAGAAATATTAATTTGATAAAACAGAAATACTAACTACAAG